ACTTAGTTCTCCCTGTACTTAGTTGACACTAGAAGTATTACAAAAACACAAATTGTACTAGAAATACAGACCAAAGTCTTATGTTTTAGATACCTCTCTAAATATGATTTGTACTTAAGTCTCTCTTTTCAATTTTCCTTTCCTTTTTTTCGGGACAATCAAATTAAGGCATTTAGAATACTGATAATCATCACTTACACGAGATCGATCAAGGAATTTATTTAAGTATTTACAACACCTAAGCAAACTAATTGCCTTATTATTTATAGATGAAAGTACACATAAATGCGTGTTTATTTATTTTTTCCCTTTTTGGGTTGACGTTTGTGGTTCAACCACCGTTAGGTTGAATAACCGGGTGAGGGTTACCCAACTTAATAGGTGTAGTTGCCTTTTACCGCCATTTTAATCTTTTTGGTGTTATTTTTCCTCAATTAATCAAATGTGATATGTAAATAAATGGTTATACCATACTCTCAAGAATAAACTACTTAAGAAGTACTTCTCAAATTAGGAGGCTATGGAAATCCCCTTAAACTTAAATTGTACATTATCCCCAATGTTCCAGAATAAAATAGGAGAAAGTGAAGAAAAAACTTACAAAGCACCTCCCAGGGAGGTGGAAAATGCATCATATAAGAGAATTGTAAAAATTATTCTCTTTTTGGATTATTGTCTTAAGTTCTCCTTCCTAACTAAAACAAACCAGACCTGTAAAATGAAACGACATGAAAGACATTAGCAATTAAAAATGTGGGTTACCTTCCACGAAGGGCTTTATTTAACGTCATTCATCTTGATGGTCTGTGAGTGCAACCACTCATGGAGGTTCCTTCAAAGTTGGTCCTTCAACCTTAGGCTTAGTGGTTTTAGGGACCCATGCCCACCTATCTAGCCAACTCTCATATTTTCTACTCCTTTTTTTTCTTTTATGAGGTGGTTTATACTTCTTAAGTGATGGGTGTGGTTTTTGTTTAATCAAGGGCTTTACTTCATCATAATTTTTCTTCCTTTAATGGGGTGGTTCATACTTCGTAATTGATGGTGATTTTTGTTTGTCCTCAAGAGTTGGGTTTTCGGTCTTGGTTTCCTCATAAGTTTCAACCTCATCAACTAAGTAACAAGAAACCCTAGTATAAGGATATTTCAGAATGCTTTTCATAATGAATTCAATTCTCTCACTTCCTACCTCTAGGGCTAACCTTCCCTTATTAACATTAATACTTGTATCAATAGTGCATAAAAAGGGCCTACCGACAATGATAGGCACTTGGGAATATCTTAAATGTCCATGATGATAAAATCTGGTAAAGTATAAAGGTGTCCGACCTTTATAGGCACATCCTCTAACACACTGATCAGGTACTTGACTAATTTGTCTGCAAGCTATAGAGAAACATTTGTAGGCTTTAACTCACCTATTCCTAATCTCTTTCACATGGAGAGGGGCATTAGGCTAATGTTGGGCCCTGAATCACATAGTTCTATCAAACTCCATAGTGCCAAGCTGACAGGGAATTAAAAAACTTCCTGGATCCTTAAATTTCTATGGCATACTTTAGATAACAACACTAGTCATAGCAGTCAATGCCACAAACGCATGTTCCTCTATTTTTTTATCTTTCATACAATATTTCCTTAAGGAACTTACATAAGTGGGCATTTGGGAAATCACTTTGGTAGAAGGCTCATTGACGTAGTGTTTTTCAGCATTTCTATAAATTTTAAAAAATAAATATCTACCTTATTCTTCACCGACCTTTGTTGGAATGAAATTTTTGGCTTGTATGGAGGATGAGCAACACGAGATGCTTCTTTTACTTCCTCTTTAACAACCACCATTTCAGGTTGTGTCAGCAAACTCTTCTTATCCTATAATTTTTCCTCTTCTAAATTTTCAACCCTTTTACATTTTTCCTCATAATTCTTAATTTCTTATTTTCTCTCAAGACTCTCGTCTTGTTTTCCACTTATGGTTATTACAACATTCACTTGTCCCCTAGGATTCTATTTGGCCTGACTCGAAAAAGATCCCGAAGGGACTGAAGATGGAGATTGTTGGTGCGAAACTTAGGAGATTTGTATCTCCAACATTTTATTATGCATGGAAATAAATTCGATCCTAGTGGTCAGCTGTCTAAGGACCTCAGTGGTTTGGAGGTTTTAGTTTTGAACTCTTCATTCTGGCGAGTTTGACTCTTTATAAAACCTTTCGACATGGTTTATAAGTTAGACTTCCTAGGAGCCGCGCTTTGTTGGAAACTCGAAGGTCCCATGGTGTTCTAGCCCTGATTGTTCTTATAAGAGAAATTGGAGTGATCTATCCACCCTGAGTTATATGTGTTAGAATATGGATTCCCCACTGGTTGTAAACATAATTAACAATATCTTAAGTAGACCCTCCAACGAAGTTCATTTCACAGTCTTTAGAGGAATGTCCATTTAACCTGCATACCTCATTGTAGAGAACCATTGGGGTGACAATAGCCATAGAAGCTTCAAGTGTGGGTAAAAATGATGTTACACACATGCTCTCAATCTTTTGGCAGAGTGCGTCTACCTTAGTGCTCATGTGATATTACAGATTCACTTTATAAAGCCTAATATTTTGAGGGGCATTACTAGTTTTTTCTTGGTTGCTTCCCCGTGAATGGTGGTTTTTCGACATGTCCTCAATTAAGCTATAAGTTACATCCTGTGGTATTATCATTGAGTATGCCACTGACATATACATCTAAAGTCATCCTTGTGGAGTAGAGGAGACCATTGTAAAAAATGTGCTTTATTAACCATTTTCTAGCCCATGGAATGAGCATAGTCTCAATAGATCTTTGAAACACTCCCATGCGTCAAAGAGAGACTTTACACTTAGGTTGTCTTGCTAGGCGGAAGGTACTATGTAAAGAAAGTAGCCTTAATTTGTCCCCATGTAGTCATGGAATAAGCGAGCAAATATTGAAGCCATGCTCAGGCTCGTTCTCTTAGTGATAAAGGGAACAATCTAAGTCGGATGGTGTTTTGATCAATGCCATTGGCTTTTAGAGTGCCACAAAACTCGACAAAGATGGACATGTAAAGGTTCATGTTTTAAGTAGGTAACCCTAAGAGTTGGTTATGTTGAACCATGACCACCAGCGAAGGCTTAATTTCAGAGTTATTAGCTGTGATAGGCAGATGAAAAATACTATTGTACAGTTCCTCATCAGTGGGAATCACATAGCCTTTCAGTGGTTTGGTGTCTACAACCGGTTCAACTCATGCACTATTTGGAATCAATTTACTATTACACCAATTAATAAATGCACTAAACACAATCTTTATTAAATGATAAAAAACTCAGAATCATATAGAAGAATACTCACTAAATTACATCCATCAAACAAGTTTATGGACAATTCATCTAAAAGACCTAATATTATGTAATTAGCTACTCGTGTTACAATTGTGCGTAACAAAATAGATAAGAGACAGGGTAAATGACATTGCACTTGAAGTGTTAGACCCTAACATTGATTAATCATAAATCCCTAGATCTTTAGCACTCCTCCACTATAACACAATAAGAGAGTTGATGTTGAGTATCCTCGCTTGTAAATTGGTGTTGATGGACATGTTTAGTTCACCAACATGCAACTTCAAAATGACGATCATGTAAGAACAATGTTCTCAATATTTGGTCAAAATAATTCCTTGGGGTTGATTGAGTTAGAGGTCACCTGATAAGATCTTTTTATGTTATTTGATTAAACTTGATTTGTTATAGAACATTTAATGATATTATGGTGTATATGGTTGAGCGCGATGAAAAAATAACTAGTTTTTCTAATCCATGATCTTGGTGATAAGGGGGTTGATGTAGAGTATCATCGTCTGTCAATCGACGATGATGGACATGTTTAGTTCACCAATATGCAACCTCAAAATGACGATCATGTGAGAACCATATTCACAATATTTGTTCAAAATCATTCCTTGGGGATGGTTGAGTTAGATGTTACCCTGATCAAATTTGTTGGTGTTATTTGTTTAAACTTGGTTGAGTGCAATGAAAAATAATTAGTTTGTCTAATTTATGATCTTGGTTATATTTAATTGATGATACTAATTATTCACAACTTATTATTGGTGTTTGACATGTAATATATTATTGAATTTACATGATTTAATTGAATGTTTATGTTTATTGTGTTTGTCCATGTATTCATCAAGTTCAAATTCTAGAATCTAAATGCCTTAAAATACACTCGAAATTCAAAGATGTGAATGCTATTTTAATAAATTCCAAACGTATCTTTCTAGAGAGATTTTGTCCTACCACCCCCCAAACTAAACGTGACACCCCCCAATTGTAGTGCTTTTACTATATTACTCTTAAATATTAAAAACCATTTCAGTATTCAATTGTAACTTTTCAAATTTTTCCAAAAGTTGTGCGTCTTACCGAATTTTTTGAGCCAACTACCAAATTTTTACAAGTAAGTATACATTTTTACTAACAATTTATGTTTTATACTATATTTTTCATGAAAATATGCATTTTTATCAATTTTTTGAAATGTTCGATAAAAATTCATGTTTTCATGCATTTTTACCGGTTCTTGAAAAATATTCGGAAAAAACTCATGTTTCTCATGCATTTTTATTGGATATTTTGAAAAATCCAGTAAAAAAATGCAAGCATTTTTATCATATATTTTGAAAAGTTCGTTAAAATTGCATATAGGCATACCGAAGGTTTCTAAATGCAATAGAAGAAATTATTGAGATGGTAAACCAGATTTTTCGAAAAATCCGATAAAATCATGTTGATTTCCATTTTTTTAAAATCCAGTAGTTTATATTTCTTCATTTTTTGCAGTGAGGACCAGATAAAAGGACGACATGGTTGCTTATAGGCAGATTAACAAGTTGTAGAGAGGTCTCGTGCAAGGGCATATGACCTTGAGGATTCGTATATCCGGGCGGGGAGGGTACCCTAGACTGATTCTCATAGAAGGAGGATGGATGGGCATGCATGCATACCCTGCACTCTTCGATGTAGAGGAGGTAGAGATAATGAACATGCAAGAGATCTTACCGATGAGCCCAATGTTGCAGTTGTTGATGATGTTCAGACAATAGTTGAGGAGGTGCAGGGCCATGATGACATATAACTGGTGGATGTGACAAAGGTGACCCATCATATTTAGAGGAAGCCTTTGCTTAATATGGAGATGACTCATCAGGCTAATACAAAGGTGACTCCTTAGGCTGATATAGAGGCTACTGCTCTGGTGGATACAGAGGAGACTACTACAAGTGATATGGAGGTTACTCCTCCGGCTGATATGGAGACGACTACTCTGACTTTGACGGAGCCATCTATACACATTGATTATGGGTTTCTTTGACGGGCTGTTGATTGTTTCATGCTCACCGGATTTTACGATCATGATACATTAATATTATGACAGAGAGATGTATATATATATATATATATATATATATATATATATATATATATATATATATATATATATATATATATATATATATATATATATATATATATATATATATATATATATATATATATATATATATATATATATATATATATATATATGTGTGTGTGTGTGTGTGTGTGTGTGTGTATGTGTGTGTGTGTGTGTGTGTGTGTGTGAACTTGTTTTTATTTATTAATGATACATTGAAAATAACTTATGCCTTTTCTTTGTTTGTTATAGGACTGCATGCCGCTGAAGGCGTCCACCTATGGGGCTAAGTTGAAGAAGTTATTAAATGTCGAGATGCCTCAACAGGTCGGGGAGAATGTCAATGATTGTGGTGTCCTTTCATTGGTAGACTGTTCGTTGACCATGCTCGATGATGTACTATTGTCAAATTTTGTTAAGTGGTGGTATAAGGTGATATTATATTTTCATATTCTATTTGGTGAGATGACGATTACTTTAGATGATGTCTTCTCCATGTTCTATCTCCCCCTGTCAGGTAGTTTCTTCAATGCTCCTCTGTTTAACCAAAAGATTGCATGTATTACTACTATACAAGACTTAGGAGTTATTGGGGAGGAGGTGATATAGGATTTTAGGGTTAACAAGGGTGCTCATTTTAGCCTATCTGTAAGTATGAGAGTGCGCCTAAGAGGGGGTGAATTAGGTACTTTAATAATTTTACTGTTTTAGTGATGATGGATATTATTTTTCTGGTTTAGTGCATGAGTTTACAAATGTGTTTCTTTCTTTTCTTGTTTATGTCTAGTGATAAAAGCGGTAAATGCAGAAAAGTAAAGAATACCGAGATGTATCCTGGTTCCCCTCACAGTCCGGGAGTACTCCAGTCCCCTTTCAACATGAAAGAGATTTCCTTATTGTTAGATCTCTAGACAAGACACCCTAAGAACAATCAAGAACTGTGAGGACATTCACTTTTAACATGTCCCTTTTCTCCACATTCAAAGCATATAACCTTCCTTGTTGGTGCTTCCCTTTTTCTTTCTTTTCGTAGAACCTTTTTAATCTTCTTGATAAGATCATCATCTTCACTACTAGTGGATTCATCCTCTTGATTGCTATCATGATTTTTTATCCTTGTATTTAGAGCCATGTCTTTTGAATCTTTTACTTGGATTTCATGATTTTCAAGTCTTGCAAGTTCCGTCTCATATTCTTGAAGTTTTCCGAACAAAGTGGCGGAAGTCATTGTGGATAGATTCTTCTTCTCGGATATTGCTGTCACTTTTGGTTGCCATTCCCTGGATAAAGATCTAAGCACTTTAAGATTAAGTTCATCATTAGTTAAAGTCTTAACGAGTTCATTCAAATGATTTGTCAAGTGTACAAATCTTTTCTGCAAGTCGAGGATTGATTCTCGGGGCTGCATTCTGAATAGTTCGTATTCTTGACTCAATGTATTTAATCTCGATCTTTTAACTTCAGCGGTTCCTTCATGAGTTTCTACCAAGGTATCCCATATTTCTTTCGCCGTTTTAAATGCTGAGACACTGAAGAATTCATCCATGCTAAGTGCACCTTGAAGTAGATTTATTGCCTTTTTATCATAGAGAACCTTCTTCTTATCATCTTCATCCCATGCAGCTTTAGGCTTTGATGAGCCAGCACCATTGATTACCGTTATAGGAATAAAAGGACCATTCTCGACGGCATCCCATATTTCTTCTCCTTGTGCTTCTAGATGTGCCTTCATGCGTATTTTCCAGAAGTCAAAATATTCACCACAAAATAGAGGAGGCTTGTTGTTACTACCACCATCTATGAAAACGAGATTTTGATTTGGGGAAGCCACTCTGGATCTTTTAGGAGCAGGTTACCTATAACCTGCTCTGATACCAATTGTAAGTATAAGAGTGCACCTAAGAGGGGGTGAATTAGGTACTTTAATAATTTTACCGTTTTAGTGATGGTGGATATTATTTTTCTGGTTTAGTGTATGAGTTTACAAATGTGTTTCTTTCTTTTCTGGTTTATGGCTAGTGATTAAAGTGGTAAATGCGGAAAAGTAAAGAACACAGAGATGTATCCTGGTTCCCTCACAGTCCAAGAGTACTCCAGTCCCCTTTCAACATGAAAGAGATTTTCTTATTGTTAGATCTCTAGACAAGACACCCTAGTCCTTCTATACAAGACTCTAACCAATAAAACCACCAAGAACAATCCTCTTGGACCAAGAACAATCCTCTTGGATTTTCACTATGTCAACAATGAGAACAATCCTCTCAAAGTGACTACACACTTGTATCCAACAATCCTGGAAAGACAATATTTATAAAACCTCTTAAACTTATTTCAAACAATCCTGGAAAAATAAGTAAGTATCTATCAATTTTTTATTTTGAGTGAGTTGAGTAGTATTGATCACTTAGAGTGATTTAACAATGAATGATCTTCTCTTCCAATAATATTATTGTACCTTGAAAGTTGTTGAGAGCTTTGAAATGAAGATTTTGTCCTTAGATGCTTTTAGTTTGATCATAAATCTTTGCCTTCTTTGTCAATCATGATTTGTCTTCATCAAAACAAAAAAGCTCATTTGAGAAGTTTGATTTTACACTATCTTGACTTTGGGAAAGGTATACGGATCTGGTAGCATGGTCTACGTATGAGGCAACCGCTAAAATATACATAATACATGTATACTGAGTTGGTAGCACGTTCTACGTATGAGGCATCCGCTAGGATATACATGATATGTAACACCCTGAAAATTATAATTATTATTTGATTAGTTGTTTGTAATATTTGTGAGTCATTATGATTTATATGATGCATTATCTGGTTTAATGATAATATGTGTGGGATAGTGTCAAATCAAAGTAATAATGAAAATTATTTTTTAATTTAAATAATTTATTGGGAATTATTTAGATTTAAGAATAATTGTTAAAAAATTTATTAATATTTAAGTGGGATAATATGTGTAGAGATATAGAGGGCGATATGGTAATTTTCATGAGGTTTAGTGAGGGTAAGAAGGGATTATAATAATAGAGGTCTAAAGGTTAAACCAGTAAAAAGAAGGAAGTTAGAGAGTTGGGTGGTATTGTTGATCGGTCGTGTTTTAAGAGAAGTGGCAGCAAAAAGGTGAGAAATGGATAGGGCAGGAGGGAATCCATTGTATAAGCTTGGGAACCATCAATGTAAGATAAAGGTGAGGTTTTAACTTTCTAAGGGCATTATATAATGATGAGTATGTTAGGGATTATGATTGCTATAGTTTTTGTGTACTCTTGTTCATGAATTTGCTCTATTGTGTGATTGAATCAATTTGATAAATTGTTGAGATGTGTGTGATTAAATTGATGTCATTGAATGAGTAGTAACATTGTGTAGTCTGTATGTATGTATGTATGAGTTATGGAATTGAAAGACATGATTTTGATTGCAAATTTGGGGTTGAAAAGAATGAATTTCATATTTTGGAAAAATAGCAGAAACAACCTCTGGTTCAGTGGTAACTGGTTACCAGTTTTGGGGTAACCGGTTACTTGATGAAAATTGGGAAAATATTGGGTTTCTGTTTTGTGAAGTAACCAGTTACCGGTTTGGAGGTAACCGGTTACCACTGTGTAATTTTGTGTGGCTTGGAAATTGTTTTGTGAAGTAACCGATTACCAGTTTTAAGGTAACAAGTTACCACTGTGTCGAACAGAAATATTTCAAAAACTTTAAAAATTCATATCTTTTATTTTGGGTGTCTGTTTGACGCACCATTTAAACCTATGGAAAGCTAAAAACATTTTCTATCATTAAAAAATATTTTCGAATACAGTGGGTGAGTATTTGTTGGTAGGCTTATGCCTTTTTGTATGGAATTTGTCTAATATGTTTGAGATGTGTGCGTGGAAATATGTGTGATAGTGCTATACGATATTGATTGAGCATTAGGGAGTGCATACTGCATAGGTGAATGATTGGTGGCCTATAATGGCGTGTTACATTGATGAATATGAATATCAATGTGTTCAATTTTGTTGCATGTTTATTTCACATGCATTTGTGGTGAGGACTTTAGTCCTGTTGGTGTGCTTTGGTCCTACGGTGGGGATCGTGAGCGATGTGAACCTAACTATTCACGATATTGGTGGCTCTGGTCCTATGGCGGGGATCAGGAGCAAGGTGAACCTATTTGTTCATAGATGATACCACATGTATTGAGTCTGTGTAGTTGATCTCATTGCATTACATTGTCATTATCATAATGTTTGAGCTGTATGATTGGTTTGTGTATTATACGGTAATTAGATGATACGTGTTGATGGTGTGTGTGATTATATAATTGACATGTAAAATGATGGTTGTAGATTGTTTGAAAGTGTGAGATGTGAAGTGTGTGACCATGCATTAATAGATTCATTGTCTTCTTATTATTATAAATTCCTTTATATTGTTGTGTGTTATACCCTAAATTTTTCCCTCTCACTTATCAAGAATTTGCTCACAAGATCTCCTTTGGCTCAAGACTGCACTAGGGTTGATCAACTCAAGACACCTCCTTAAGCACTAATGACCAAAATTAGGGTTTGAGATTGCACAAGGATATTTAAACTTCAAATTCCCCATATGAATTTCATGGATCATTATGAACCCTCAAGATTACTCATGTCAAATTTCAAGTTTTGGATCACACTTTTGCTCAGTCAATTGAGCAGTTGACCTAAAAATCAACTGTATTGAAAAAAAAGTCAACTATGGTCAATTTACAGTCAAAATTCATAATTTTTGATCCAAATCAACATTTAAAACTCATATGTATCATTTGATAAAGTTTGGACCATAATTCCTCAAGAAATTTGATCAAACCTTCAAAAGGGCAAAATGGTCAAAATTAGGGTTTTGATTAGGAAAGGGCAATTTCTGATTTTTGACCTAGC